TGCTCCCTGCTCTAAATTATCCAAAATAGTCAGTCGCGAAAAAAAGGCATGATAAACCAGATCACATCCTTAAAATAAAATTTATGCACCCTCCCCTCAGTCACTAAGACATAATCTAAGTCACGTTCCGACTCAATGGAGTTTAATGTCATACCCAGGGAAAGGCGCAGATCTGCTTTGAAAGGTGTGGAATGGGGCGACATTTCGTGAGTCCACAGCCATCTCAGACCCACCATGGTTGGGGCTGAGGTGCGAACATTTGAGGAAATAGTACCTCTACAAATGACACTTTTAGTAAAATTCATCATTACATCACCATTATGTAAAGCTCCAACAAATTTCTCGTGAACTTTTATAACGGATTTTTGGCAACCATAGAGGTCTTATTAATATGCGTGTTGTACCATAGATTATAAAGCTTAAAACACTGTCTTTGATGTATGTACTTTACATACGTAAAAGCCGTTATTTTGCAACCACCTGAGCCCCACCATGATTGGGGCTCAGGTGAGAAAATTTGAGGAAATAGTACCTCAGATGGTCGGAAATGACATTTTTTTAGTAACATTTTTATTATCATCACATCACCATATTATAATCAAAACGAAGAGCAAACAAATTTTATGATCTTTTATCAGGGATTTTCGGCAACCATAGAGATCTACTTAATATCCAGAACAAATTAGGCCCAACTGTACTAAGCTTTAACAAATTAATCAAAGGTTTCCCTTTCGCCTTTAGCACAATAATTAATATTATTATTTAATATCATAATTACCATCGTCATCATCATAATCGTCATTATTATTATTATTATTATTATTATTATTATTATTATTATTATTATTATTATTGCTTCTACTACTGTAGTAGTATTATTAAACAAAACTTTGAAATGCTTGCAAAAAGAGAAACCAAACTGAACCATATACAATATCACATTTTTGTATTTTAAAAAGACATGGCCTGAGATATATTGATTTAAGGCAAATTTAAGTTGATTTTTTTTGTTTGTTAAGCAAGTTCGCTAAATCCACCCATTGAGAAGTAGCCGTTATAAGTCCGAAAATTTTAATTTTTGCATTATTGTGTACAGTGAAAAATTGATTAATCTGACGAATATTCTACAGGGTTACTATCGGGTTAGCGGGTGACTTTTATTGATAGAAATTTATGGTGGGTTTCTATTGGAGCACGGGTCACAAACCACAGTAGAATGAGTCAATTAGAAATTTTACAGTATTTAAATCAACACCAAACTATTGATTGATTTATTTAATTTTTTGTTTCATGTGCTGATGTATATTTACATATTTTATAAAAGTATTCATTTTGAGTGATCCCTGGAAAGAATGTGTAGGCCCTATTTGCTAGCAAGAATAAGTTTCTGTTTACAAGGGTGGGGGGAAGAAACCGCGGCTCCCACGGCTCCCCCACCCCCTCTCTGAATACGTCCCTGGTACTGTACCGTGGAATGAACAATATGGAAATAAATTTACATGAATCCGCATCATGCCTATGGAGTAGAAACGAAGACAGTAATACCTATACACTACTATTTCTAGTACCGGTAAGTGGAATAAACAATGTGGAAATAAATTTACATGAATCCGCATCATGTCATGGAGCAGTAATTTGCGTTAAAGGTGCATTTGCATTAATCAACAGCATAATCACCTACGCGCTACTATTTCTTTACTAGAAGACAGTGTGGAATAAAAAATGTGGGAATAATGTGCATTTTTAGAATTTGCATCATAATAAGTGGAATTAAAAACTGTAGGTGTATTTACATGAATCATTTATCCCATGACAGATGGTTAAAACTGGACCGTACCAACAGAACTCACACCTATTAATACACCAGGTTGTTGTAGCAGTACACGCCTACACTACAGTGCGCTAAACCTCAGTTTAAAATCGGTTTTTATCAATTCTATCGATTGCTTCTGCAATAGTCATTGTGTCCTCGTAATGTTAATCAATACAGATTTGCTCTTTATTGTGTGTGCAATGGTAATTGCCAAAATTTTAGACATACGTATCTCTTGGAAATTTGTATTGAATATTAAATTTATTTTGAATCTGATTGCCAAATGCAAAAATACGGATCGGATGAAACGTCAAGACTGGACAATGTTTAACGGAGAGCATTCAACAATTCAAGTTTTTAAACAATCAAATAAAAGTTCAATTAACTATTACAAATATGAAAGTAACATGAAATCATATTATTCGTTGTCATTTACGATTTTTCTAAACTTAATTGGTTTTTTTTAAATCTTCTATATTTTTTATTTTGAGTATGATTCTTACAAAACACAGTATTTAACAATAATATTCGAGTGGCCGTGCGGTAAGGCAGGTAGGGGCGCCAACAGCTACAGCCTTAACACCGGCGCTGGTTCCAGCCGCTCCTCGCCCATGGTTCGATTGGTAGAAACAAGTCTTCTCTGATGAGTGTCCAGTGTACACTTTTAAGAACCCATTGCATCTTTCAGAAGAGTAGTGGGTTACCCCGATATTATGGTTCATTTCAGCCCCTGTCGTTGTGGAATGATGTGAACATGTATATTGCATAAAGCGCGTATTTACGGCTGATGTAGTCACGGACCACGCCCATACGCAATTCAGCACAATTCTCCTACCTTTACCTTTAATAGCTTACAAGTGATTACTTTTTAGTAATTCTTATTTGTTAAGAGAGAAACACCAAGTTTAAGTACTTTTACCGATATAGCTGATAGGTAGGAATAGGACAATGATTCGTAACTGATTATAAGATGGGAAAAATAATTATATCAGTTTATGAGCTTAACAAATATACAGAAACTCTCTCCACATAACTTGACATCCTCATAAATTCTTAAAATGACAAGAGTATCATTAACAATAAGTGCACTTCTTGCATTATATCTATTTGTAATAGTTTTCTAAACTTTGTTCAGGGCCGTCGGAACCGCACCGGCTTTGGCCGGACCACCTTTTCTCAATTCTATTACTTTATAAAATAAACTATACAAGATACCACATTATATGAATGTTAATTTTTAATGTTCGCATTACAAATTGTCTGAACTATTTTAATGTTACATATTTAAACAAAAAATCCACTATGCGCTTGTTTTTGTATTGCCTATAATTATGTGCATTTTAACTTTTAACTTATATCAGGTATACCGATAGCTATACATTATATGAATGTATTATTAATGTTAGCATCACATTTTCTTAACTCTTTTTAATGTTACATATTTAAAAAAAAAATCCACCATGCGCTTGTTTTTATATTGCCTAGGCCTAAGTACATTTTAACTTTTTTTAAAAATCCTAATTTTAGTAATATAAACTATAACATTTTATTGTGGGTTGGAGTCGGCCAAATTGCCATCACCACATAAATGTATACGGGTCAAGAAGACGGCCCTGATTACTTGCAATCAAAATTTAAACCAGGGGTGGCGCCAGGATTTGCCCGACGGGGTGGGGGGGGGGGGCAATGCCCGGGGCCGATGCCCCGACGAGGGGTTATATTTCCCCGACGAAAGCAAAGTGGGCGTGGTCGAGCTTCGATTAAAAGGTTTCGAAAGTGGTCCAGGGGGAAAATCCCCCGAAAATTATGACAATTTAAGGGTTTCAGAGGCTTAATTAATCGATTTTAGAGTGTAGAAAATCGATTTTAGAATGTAGAAAATATATATCATTTTTTTTCTTCCGACAAATTATGCTTTTTCTCCCCGACGGGGGGGGGGGGGGCCGCTGGCGCCACCCCTGATTTAAACACCTAAAAAGAAAAACATATTTGTTTAAGTACTACCTGTGGAGCCATTCTCATTTGTTAAGAGTGAAACAACAAGATTATGAGTACTACAGTATTTTTTATATAGATAGGTTTTGTACCGAACTTTCATAAAATAAAATAGGTAGGAATAGGACAATGATAAAACTGATCCAAGGTGGAGCTGAGGTGTGTAGAACCTTTCCCCATGCTAACTTTAAATCTTGTGGCAGCCCTATGAGGGTAGGTGGGGTAGCGGCTCTACAGGTTGCAAGCATATTTCCGGGCATCCAGGTGCCAAAGTTGTTCACCAACCATAGTGGAGCGGGGTGATATACACTCAGACCCCACTATGTTGTTTTAAGACACCCTCAAGGTATTCATTAAGGAGACTAACTTGACAATATAAACATGTATAAAAGGAAGGAAATAATACAAATTAGATTTATCATCGTCACTATAGTACTGTATATTGTTTACAAAGTCTATTTCCTTGTATGCACAGGGACCTGACTTGTCGTATGACGTCCAACTCATCATTGAGGTCATCATTAACTTATAAGGATTTGACATATTGTAGAGTTAGTCAATTACCGGTATAATTTTATTCAGCTATAGGTAACCATAGAATTGCGATTTCTGAGCCTCTAAATAGACCTACTACATAATGTGTGGAGTGGAAAAGGGGAAAAAATATATATTTCACTGGGTCATAAAAGTATAGTTATTATGTGTTGAGTTTATTTTACGTGGAATTTACTTAAACTTTTCCTCATCAGCTGGTGATGGGTTCGCTGCCGCGACTATATCCCGCTCACAATTCACAAGAAATACACACACACACACACACAAAAGTACATTGTGTATGCACCAGGATCTGTCCGACGGTGGGGGAGATCCCTGGGTCCCGGGGAAAGGTTGGCTCCGGGAGGGTTGACGGGAGGAGGTAGTTGACCTGTTGTTCGCTGGAGACATGGGATGTCTTGATTTCCAATGACAATCCTTTAGAAACTACGGCCACTGTTCTCACATCTGTCAGTAGGCCAAGTAAATATTCACCTTACTTACCTTGTGCGTTTGTGACAGGTATGCTAGGCACAACTGCTAAAAAAACTAATCCTAAAATGTTCAACCACATTGCTGCTAAAACTGAGTGTAAAATTTACAAATGAACAACATCACAATAATTCCAGACAGTCATCAAATTTCCACTCTATTGGAGTGATCCGTCACCGTTATATAGGTTCCTTTGCTTATTGTTCCGACCAACAGTGGTAAATATCAACAAGTGGTAAATATCAACAGTGGGTAAATTTAAAATGGCAATTACAGTGTGGTACTGCGTCGCGTCGTTTGGTAACGATGATGAGCTCACGGCCGTTTGAATTCAGGTCTATTGTTTACTATACACAATGCCTTTTGTCAGCCAACCAATGCGTGACAGTTCTCGCTTCACAAACGAAACTTGAAGGGATTTGTTCAATAGGATCCGATTTTCATTTCATCAGTTTGTCAATACAATATTACATTATATCCTTATACAGCATTATATATGATACACGTATTTCAGAATACAGTAACGTCTACACGGAGATAGAAAAGGCCAACGGAAAGCCGTGGCTATTTTGTATTACTATCACGGGAGTAATTTATAATATTAGTATTAACGATCGTTATGTAAATGAATACTCAACCTTGTATAAATAAAAGTGAAAGATTGATGTTTATTTATTTGTTGTGTGACGTTATGATCTGAACAGATGGTGGCTCGGGTGGAGTAAAAATCGATAGACACGTCAGTCTCCGGATGATTCAGGGACGGTCGGTATGCCGGCTACAATATGGCAGTTGTACAGGTGTAAGCTGGTGTGTAAAATTTGATAAATTGTCGCAGAGCGTTGAAAATTGTTTTGGCGTACATATTCACCGTTAAATAAAGTCAAAATATATTTTTGTAATACAAGCATAATATAGCTTTCAGCTATTGTTTTGTAATATGGTTTAAACAGTAATAAATTTTTTTAAATGTCTTTTTTCGGGTTTATTTTCTCCCTAGTTGAATAATTAGCAATCAATTGTGCACCAGAACCAAACGAAATGTCCAATTCTTTCAAAGTAATGCCATTATTAATTTTTAATGATTTGCTTTTGGCCTGTATAGTTCGATGGTCAAGGGAACGGTGGTGGCCATGGATTAGAACGTGTTGGGTTGCGACTCAAAATATATAGTCGCCAATATACAGTGCGTAATTAGGTTCGGAGCAGAGGCACTGTTTCTGGTGTACAGTCGGGGCCCTTTAACGCATATATTGCCGACTCGTGTACGGTAGAAATTGTTTTTTTTTTTAGTGAAATAGCCTAATCCATAGTAAGGAAACAAGGAAGAAATTATTATGTGTTGGGGACGATCCAGTTGAGCCGGGGGGAAATTTGGGGGGGGTGTAAATTTGAGGGTCATTTAAATTTTTGAGGTCCCAGACCTATTAAAAACTTTCTATACGAGTGTTACTTCAGTGCGAGTTGCGAGTTACAAAATACGAGTTGCGAGTTACAAAATGCGAGTTGCAAAATGCGAGTTGCGAGTTGCAAAATGCGAGTTGCGAGTTGCAAAATGCGAGTTGCGAGTTGCAAAATGCGAGTTGC